ATTGCAGTTTACCACCATCTTGATGTCCTTGATGCGTGCCGATGGCATGGAGGTGGCTGGCACTGGATCAGCCCAAGAGAAGGAATGAGAGGCCAATGGAGATTTATGTGAGGAGAGTGAGATGGACAAGGTAAAATTGTCAGGAGGAGTTGTTAGAAAGTAAAATATATTGTGACAATTCCACTCCTGCCGTTCATCAATAAACTGACAGATCATTTAGTGTCAATTAGGAGTGATAGATGGACAAGTCCCCATGATCCTGGGCCAAAATTAATGGCTGGGAGGGAGAGGGTGATTGAAAATGACGGCTGACATTGAGAGGAAAGTCCTGAAGGTCCCCAAGGGGCCATTACTTGCCTCATTCCCTTGCAGATCAATGCAGGGACAAACCCAAAAACAGACACTTCAAGACAAAACTTAATCAGACTTCCTTTTCTTTCTTCTCCTTCTAAGTTGTGCCCCCTCACTTGGCAGCCTTGATCCTCTGTGCCCATACTCTTCACATCACTGAGAACATCCACAGATGGCTGCAAGATGCAGAGTGATGCTAACATCTCCTGTGCAGCCAGATGTCTGGTTCCCCACCTTACATGGCAGTGTCACAGGGAAGCCTAGCCTGAGATTCACCTCAACACTGCTGGACTTGGAGTAGAGGGCAGAAGCAATGACAAGCTTTTGCCAGATGGAGAAACTCATGAGCGCTTTACTACTCCCAGCTGCAACACAGAAATGACTGGAGGTTCTAAAACCAGGCACTCTCAGGGGTCATTTCTTACAGACAGAACACAAGACAGTTTAAGCCCATATTTTTGAAACAGGAGGTTTTTAACTTTACTTACCTCTAGAGACCTTGAATCATAAAACCCCTTAATCTCTTAAATAACTTTCCTCCAGCCCCAGGGTACAATCTCACCATTGCCCACCCTCCAGAGCCCTAAATGATATCTACACAGGGGCTCAGTTACCCTGCTCTAAAGGTCACCCCAACTGCATCCTCTTCCTTCCTTTGGGCCCTTAATATTCACCTTCTTTGTAAATGCATTCCTGGACACTGTATCACTACTTCTGTCCAAAAATATTCAGCATGGTTGTTTTCCTAAACAAGCCTTAAATATTCCAACTCTGTGTGACCTATCAGTCAGAAAGGGGAAACTTCAGTTGTAGCTGAAGCACCTGTTGCTAAACTGCCACAATCAATGTATAAGAAAGGAGGTACATTTGCAGGCACTGTAAGGGACTTCCTACTGAAAACAGCACTTGTGTTTGCTTGCAGGGCCACCTGAAATGAGCTGTGTTTATTCCAGAACAACCCTAGCTGCTGTCTGCAAAGCTGTAGAAATTTTAGGGGGCTCATTGCAAGACCAAAGGGACCAAGCACCCAGGTACCCAGAAAGAGTCACAAGAAGCAAAGAAATAAAGAGGTTTCCTACTAGATAGGAAACTGAAGAATTCTATCAGTCAAGTCAGAGATATGAGATCAGAAGAAGTTGGAACTAAATGGATCCTGGAAGCACTCCTCCTTTATCAAATCCTCACCAGTATGCAAAACCCCTTTCCTTTTCCCACTGGCAGGCACTTTGTGTTTCTTTCTTTTGATGTGTGAGATAACCTGATAATAAACCTCTGCTTTGCTTGTCACAAGTGTCAACACTGATGTCATTAGGGACATCAGCACAGTGTTCAGAATGGCACTTGGGCTCCATCCAGTGGTTAGAGAGCTGCTTCTGTAGCAAAACCCAGCTGTAATTACTGATATCTCAGCAGGATACAAGGCCCCAAGTGGCTGCCTAAGTTCTTGGTTGGTCCCCTTTCCACCAATATTGGGGCTGGAATGTTGCTGGGGCAGCAATGGGACTGCCTTTTCTCAAAGAGAATTATTTTTCTGAGTACAAATTTAACCAGATAAGGCAGATTCAGGTACAGATGACCCTGTCAGTATGGAAAATGAATTTTCTGTCACTACTTTGCACCATTTATTTGCTGATTGCAAAAGACCAGTCTGGGAGTTTGCTCAACACTTACTTGCAGTCTTCATCATTGTCCAGATTTATCAGATGGGACTCCTAGCAATGACAGCAGTTCCACAGATGTACTAAGAGTCCAAAGTAATCTTTCCATGCATGGCTTTTAAAAACTTGAGTAAAAGAGCATTTTGATAATTCTCAGCAATTTAAATATCTAAATGTAAATGCTATGGGTACTCATGATAAAACACTTTATCTCACTTGCACACCATCTGTGATAATTAATTTAAAAAATAATTATAGGTTGGAAAACTTTAAGGGCCCTCCTTAACTTCCTATCTTGCAAAAGTCTGAGAGAGCAGCAGTCTGATGGAAATAATTGGCAAGATGTTGAGAAGATTTGGAGGTTTACCTAAGCATGACAAGACCTGGGCAGGTAAGGGATGAAGAGGGAGAAGGAAAGGCAGAAAAACAGAAAAACAGGTTGCAAGCTACATTCTCTAACATGTGCCGAATGGAAACAAAAAAACCCCATTTTTAAGTGATCATTTCACATTGGTAAGACTCTGAACTAGAAATGCAGAAAAGTATCCCTGCAGGAAAAGCTACACATGCAGAGGCAACTGGCTGAATCTGTCAGAAACAGAACTAAAAGCTAAGACTTCAAATGGAGAGAGAATAACACATAAATGGCTACAAAATCATTGCACAAGTGGCTGCAGTATCACATCTGACACGCAATGTATTTTACACAACACAGAAAATCTAACTGTACCCACTCTGCTCATCCTTCCTTTCTAAGTAAACAAAAAAAAATCAGATTTTAACATTGTCAGTTCTGAAAATCTAATTACTTCTAACAGAAAAATTCCCAAGTGCAGGCTCTGTTACACTGGCATAAAAGTGCTTAAACCTACATCAGATGTATCAACAGAAGCATGTTATTCTAACTACATCTACACTAGTGAAATTGGAGCAAGTTAACTTGATGGGCTTCCAAACTGAGTCAAATTGGTTGAAAAGCAGTGGGGAGATAGAGCCTGAGAAAACAGAAACAACACAGCTACAGCAACATTGGTATGACATCAGCCGATGACTCAGACTTTTCACATGAAGGCTTTACCCTGGGATATGTCACAAAGATAGCCCTACAGGCCAGCATCTGAGACTTTTTTAAGGGAGAGAAGAAGAGAGATCAGCTTTGGGAGAATACACAACTGAAGGAAAGACAGGGGAACTAGTTGTACAAAATCCTTGTAGCTCGTATGACTGAAGAAGTCAGAACAAACTTCTCCATAAAATTTGTTCAATAAAAACTCTTAATAAAAATGAAAAGAACACTGTCAGATATGACACAGTATCATATGCGTGACAGAGCAAGGGGCACATCTTGATCTCATGTCCCATTGTGCAGAGTCTCATAGGCATAAAGGTCTACAACCCTACAACCCTATAGAATCTCCTGTTCTGCTTCTTCAGCTGAATTGCATCCAACATATAAAAGCATTTACTGCAGATACCTACAATGTCTGTAAACCATGCAGTTGAGATCTGGGGAAGCACCACTGATAGCTACTGCTGCAAATCTACTGGATAAGGCTAATAAGGCTAACGTCAAACAATGGAAAACATGGTAAAGTAGCACATGATACAGTGCTGTTACATTAGGAACCTGTACACTGTCCTTCAGGGCACATTAGACACAGCCCAGAATATGTATTACCTCCAGTCCAGTCCTTTGCCTAGCCAACAGTTACATAACTTATTATTCCTGAACAATGAAATTCACCTTTGTTCTCTGCTGTCACATTTCCATAAAGCTTCTGCTTGGTCCTACAAAGATCCAGGATCATTGGTGGCACTTTTTTAATACCCTGAGGTGGATTCAACTTTGCAATGGCAACTTCTAGCTGCAGCCAGCCTATGAAAAATAACCATTATCAGGGTTAAACTGGAGAGGAACATGAGTTCAGGCTGAAATCTTTATTCCTTTGCTTTATTTCAGTCTCCAGATTATTTATTTTTCAGAGACAAACACAGTGACAATTTTCCCAGAAAAGTACTGTTTTCCAGAAAGGCTACCCCAGAATACAGACCACCTTTCTCACCTCCCAAGAAAGTGACTGTATAACAGGTTTCTGGATGTCCTCATCCATTCTCAGAGTTCCAAAAAAGAAAATACATAACTTTTCATAAATCAGAGTGCCTCCAAAGTATATATTAAGGCATATACACTCTTATTAAAGGCCTTTAAGTACACAAGCAATCTCACACCACTCCATGGCTGAGCCCTTCAGCTCTGTGAATATGAAATACAACATCAGTATAATTTCATAGCTTGCAAAACAACAAAAAAAAACATTTCAAAACAAATGGTTTGAAAGCAAGTCATCTCCTCCCAGTCTGAACTGTCCTTTAGTTTTCATACCTATTCTATAAACCATGTGCAGATATTTCCTTTGCCTTAGGTGTCCTTCATAAGCATTAGGCTTCTCAACATATACTCTACAATTTGTATACTTTTTTCCTCCCATCTCTTCTTGATGACCATTTCTATCCGTCTCCATTATACCATAACCCCATACACACAAAAACATTGACAAATTTCACCTTTACTATCAAGGCTGATCACTAAATCCTGATGTGTTCATTGCACTCTTGTCAGTGGGGTGCTGTCATGTGTCACTCTCTTGGAAAGAACGGAACCAGTCAAAACCCCCCACCTCAGCTCCTGCATTTAACATGCTTATTATGTTCTTGACTCCTTCCAGGTACTGTATCAGGTAAGGAACACACTGCCTATGGCAAACAGTGACATGTATACAGTTCTGAGACTCACCAAGTCAATTAACCAATGGAACCAAGCAAGAGCAATAATTCAAACAGCTTGAAGGAGCTACATTGGTATTGGAGACAGAGGCCATGTAAAAGACCCACAAAAACTGTTCCAATATCTCTGACAGCAAAGTCCAGCTAGTGATGTTCACTTAATCCACACCTAAGCCCCTCTTAATAAGGAAAGAGGTGAGGACTCACTTGATAGGTGCCAGTACAGGATCATCTGCCCAGCCTCCTTGCCGGCGTGGAGGTTTAGGTGGTGGACCCTTTAATAAAGAGAAGAGACACATTACAGACAGCTCCAGTCAAGGCAAAGTCAAGCCAGTTGAGACATCAGGTTCACACATACTAATGTAATACTTTACCAAATAATAGACAGATGGAGAGATAGTGTTTAAAATGCTGTTTATTCATAAAATAAAAGGAGGACATATATTACAGGACAGGTTTTTAAGCATCACTGTAAGCAAAAGTTGCATCACCCTAATCAGGATCTTGACAAATTTCAGGTCTGTGTGCCTTTGACTTGTCCAGGACACACAGTACAGTACCAGACTGATCCACAGAGGATGTGCTCTCCTGGCAAAATAGGGTTCACTGGGAACTTGTTCCTTAGTGTTGCCCACATATCAGTGGGAGGTATTATGTTACAACTTTCCTAGGGTACCAGACAGCATGTTTTACACATCTTGTTTTAGATGAGGAATTGTTCCTAAAAAGTATGCTTTTGTCCACTGCCCAGAATAGGAGAATAGATGCCAAGTTCAGATACAGTGAGCCATATCAAACACTTCAAAAGTTAGTTGGGATGAATCCCACCACTGCCACCCCTGAAATCTAAAGGGGAAGTTCATCTGGAGCTTAAAGACATTCCCTGCTATTTTCTTGCATTGTCTTATGTGGTACTCTGCCACATGGCAAGAGAAAACAGGAATTCAGCTTGGGGCTTATGATGGGAATTTTCAAATGAATTCCCAATGGGAGCTGCCCGTTGCCTTTACAGTTTTGGATTCAGTTCCCTCAGCCTGAGGCACCTTGTACAGCAGTGACTTCAGTGTTGGGCATGACAGGCAGTGGTGAAAGCAGAGAGGCAAGGTGAGCCCAGTTTATATAGCTCCCAATTGATGGTGCCCAGCGAAGGAAGATAGATTACAAGGACCAGTGAAGAGACCATCATGAGAAAGAATGATTAGGCAAAAGATGTCCCAAAACAGAAAAAAAAATGGTAACTGCAAAGGAATGGCAAGGGCACAGGTGGCTCCTACAGCTTTTATTAAGAAAGTGAATGAGTGGGATGACTCCTGAGGATTTTAGACTTCAGAGAGAACTCTGCATGTGTGGTGGAGTCAACCCTGAGTCAAAGCCAAACCACCTCTTGCCACACACGAGGAAGGGGTTGAGCTAGCCCCTGATGGTAGGGGTCTCCCATGTTTATTTCTTGAAGTAGAAGCATTGTTTGTGAGTGTGGGAAATTAAGAGACCCTGCCAGGGGCAGCCGCTGCCTGCTGCAGGGAGGGAGCATGACCCTGCATAGCTCCCTGATAGGAGCAAAAATAGTCATCCTCCAAAAATAAACAGGGAGCAGGAATGAGGCAGGAGCTGCAGTCCCAAAATACCAACTTTCTTCAGCAAAGGGAGCACAGGAGGGCAGAGGGACAGGCAGGGAGCGTGAAATGCAGGAAACAGCCTCCTTATATGGGCTCATCCGTAGGGGACAGAGCTCAGTCGACTGGAATGACCATGTCACAGAATGTGAAGCCTTCAGGGGCCCAAGTGAATGGAGTTTTCTGATCTTTAAATGATTCCCCCAGATTCTTAAGATGCCAAACCAGAGAAGAGGCTACAGTGCCAAAAAAGGAGCATTTTGAATTCAGTTGATCTGGACACACCCAGAGCCCAGGAAAAAGGGGGAAAACACACCACATATGGGTGTGCATGCCCACATAAAACATCCCTGTTCCCATTACACACACCCCTACCTCAAAAACACACTCCCTCCCACACAGACCCTTCCCATGCAAACAACCCCTTTCCCCTCACACTATCCCTCCAATAGCCAGCAAGCCATGTTTCCAACACACAGCCTCAACTCCTCGCAAAGGTGCACAGAGACACACAAATTGCACCAAAGATCCTGGGCCATAAGGCTGAGGGAAAATGTAGCATTTCCTGGGCATTGAAATACACTTGCAATTTAATTTCCTCCTCATCAAAACTAGCCTTAAGGTCAAAGATATCTCAAGTGGGGCACACCAGATCAGAGGGTGATGAGAATGCCTGCTCCAGCCTTTCCACAGGGCATGACTCCATGGCATCTAGGGGTTTGATTCCAATGTCTTGCCAACATTTTAATGTGTTCCCATTGACCGTACACACCAGGCAACCCTGAATGTCTCTCAGGCCCTGACAAACACCTCACACATACCTACAGGTCTTTTATTCCTCTTGCAATAAATCAGGTAATTCTTTCTGAATTGCCTACAGGAGGACTAGCAACAGGAAAGGCAATGTTAACTGTCAGCTGAGGATAAATAGCTTTTCTTTGTTAGTTGCCTGGAAAGTGCTGTAATAAGGTCACATGCCACATGCACTTTTGTCAAGTAAATAAACTTACCTTCATATACTTTCACATTTCCAAAACCTCAGCATAATTTACAACTGAGAATGCAATGTTGTGCATTGCCATAATACGGTACCAGGTAGGGACTTTGGAGCTGCAACCAAGACCGTGAGGCAGAAAGTGGGACAAAAGTCAACCCCTGAGGGAACACAGCAGAAACAGAGGACCCTGTTCTTCTGTAATGCAGCAAATGTGCTCCTGAACACACCTTTTTGGTGAAAAAGACTGGGGAATTTAAATGATCAGAACTTGTTGGTACCTACTGTAATACCTTAGGCAAGATTTTTATGTATGTTCCCAAATGCAAAGCTGAGCTATACACCCAAACAGTTTGGTGTTCAAACAGTTGAGATTCCACTGGCTCCTGACAACAATGTTCTCTCTCAGCTCCTGCTGCTCAGTCTGTTTAACAGTATTAATTAATCACTTACTTGCTGTGGTTTGCCTTTCTACTTCAGTTTTATAGGTTATTTATCTCCAGGAGATTTCTTCTACTTTAGTTTCTCCAGATTGCCCCTTTTTTCAAGGAAAATTGCCATGGTCTGAGTTTTTATTTTTTTCTCAGAAACTCGGTTCACTGTTTTTGTGATGGCATTTTTCCAGTATTTCTCAGGCCACCCTCCTTACCAACACTTTCATGCTACCTCCATAATCAGTGTTTTATCTCTCCCTTTGAAAAATGACTGGCCTGAATTCCATCTCTCCTGTATTAAAGTAGAAACTCTACCTTATTCTTTATCTGTAGTCAGGACCTTTCTTATCAGACAGATGCAGAATTCTAATTTGGCCTCCTCATTAAGGCAGAAATTTCCAGGCTACTTGTCAGATCACGTCTGAAGTTTTGAAGGTGCCAGTTGGATGTTGCTTCCCTCATGGAAGCAGCTGTACTGTGTGTCTCTGATCCCAAAGGTCCAACAAAGTTTCTCTTAGGACCTACCACAACAGAGACAGATTATGGACATGTTGGGTCCCTCAGATTCTCAGGTGGGTCTGGAAATATGGATTAATCTACCTTCATCAACATGACAACTCCTTTGAAACACTGAGCATTCTGTGCAGGGATGCAGGGACTCAAATGACATTGACAGCGTGTAACAGAGGACACACAATTTTTCTATCATGTAATACATCTCTTAAAATCTATAGAATCTATGTTTTCCCAATATACAAACACTGAGAGATTATATACAGATGTCTTGTTTTTATCCAGTATTGACCATGGAGTGGAAAGAAAATATGGCCAGACTTAAGGTTCCTCTTCTCCAGCAAGATGCCTGAGGCTCCTCTGACTGAGGAAAAGCAAACCTCAACAAACAGGTCTGATGAATTAGTTTTGACTGCTGCCAATGAAGGAACTGTAAGTCAAATAGCCCCACTGCTTCCAAGCAGCCACGTAACACAATCTGTACTGATCTCAGAGCATATATGATATCAAAAAGGGATCAATTCCCAGATCTGTGCAAGCCTGGGCTTTCTGCAAAGAACAACCCATTTCTGCTAGCTCTCTTTATCATGTCCACAGACAGTTCAAATAGTGCATCTGATTTTAATGAATACCCTCCAAGGACTTCTGCATGTCTTACTTACCTAGTAGAAAATACTGGATTTCCATTTCATCCACAAACTGTTCTTCTTCATTGTCACTGACTTTCCTTTACTAGAGAAAGTGCTATTGAGCCAGGAAAAGTGCTTGGGGGAGGCTTCAAATATTCTGTCATCTATCAGAGCAGGTAAAGGAGCAGCTCATATTGTTAAACAGCTATCAAGAATTTCTCCCCTAGAACAGTGGTCAGCTATCTAGTCAGCTCATATGTGCACCTGCGAGGAAATCTGTCACCTCTGCGGCATTTGGCACCTTAACGCGTCTCAGGAGTTACTGCTCTCCCCTGCATGAAAACAGTGCATCAGCACACAACAATTTGATTCTCTGAGCAAGGGGTCACTGATAGAATCCTCTCCCAACCCATAGTTACAGGGAAATGCCCCTCCAGCCTTTCCAGGCATGAACATCACTCAAACAGTTTGCTACTACCTTGTGCTACATACTGTCAGACATATTTTCATTCACCCCCACCCTTCCTACTATTCTTCTGTTGCCTTCAGGTGGGTCCAGGAGCACTCAAAGCATGAAATATATGTATGGAAAAGGAAAAGCTTTTAATAAAATTATTTTTTATGAGATTGTCCCTAATCCACATCAAGGTTGCCAAGCAGAGAGGATACTACTAGAAAGGCTGGGAAACATCGCTGACTAGAAAAGCTATTTCAGAAGATGTCATCAAAAAGCTACAAGATAAGCTCAGAAAGCTGAAAATAACTGCCCTGCTGGCCAGCCACTCGGGGTGCATGGGGCACAGGCAGTGCAAGGCCTTGGGGAGCTCCAGGCCATGCACTGCTGGGGCTCACACTGGGGAAGTTGGCCTAATTAGGGAACAAAAGTTCAGCTGCATTTTTGAGATTCCTCCTGGACTATCTGGCCAACTTCCAGATGAGAGGTCCCCAGGAACAGGCTGGGAGTCCAGCATTTCTACAAGTAACCAGAAGACCTCTGGAAAAAAAACCTACGTAATCCCCATATAATGGAAACAGGTAAAAAACCCAGTGCTCCCTTGGATGCTGGTTCCCTTTAGCAGAGGGTGTTTATTA